ATCTTGTGACTGAATAATATGTCGGTTAGTGTATGCTCCATCAGCTCTGTTTAGCAAGTTTCATTTGTCAGCTTTTTATGACTATTTGGCGCCATCTTGTGACTGAAAAATACATAGGTTAGTGTATGCTCCATCAGCTCCAATCTGCCAGTTTAACTTCAGTCAGCTTTTTTTGACTCTTTGTCGCCATCTTGTGACTTAATATGTCGGGTAGTGTATGCTTCATCCGCTCCATTCAGCCAGTTTAATTTCAGTCAGCTTTTTTTCACTGTTTGGCACCATCTTGTGACTTAATAATAAGTAGGTTAGTGTATTCTCCATCAGCTCCATTCAGCCAGTTTAATTTTAGTCAGCTTTTATGACTGTTTGGCGCCATCTAGTGCCTGAATAATTTGTAGTATGCTCCAACAGCTCCATTTAGCCTGTCAGCATTGCATTTAATTAAATATTTATTAAACTATTACAGCTCAGAACAATGTTTTGCATCAAATGTTTATGTTTTGTGGCAAGTAGTCACAAAATAAGCAGGATAAAATATAAGCAATAACGACCTTCTGGATGAATGGCTTACTTTTTGCATATTTTAATGTTCAATAGCCCTATACACTTTTCCCAAGACCCAAGATATCAATATTGTGCGTTTTAACTATCCACATATATTGAATTATTGAATATCAGCTTATGTCTATGTGTAATTTGATTTCATCTAATCTAATAGCTAGTTTAAAATCACAGTACTTGGGAGTTACATTACAGACTGGAGCTGGTCTTGATTGTCTAGTTTTGGAATAACAAGCGTCAATACTCTTCCACCAGGAGTATAATTAAGAAAGACAGTTTGGTCAATTCTGATGTCAATGTTGCATGTAATTGAATTATCTGAAATAACAAACCTCAGTTGTTGACTTAACATTTTACATTGTTGTTGCTGTACCACCTCAAACCCATTCTATAGTCTGGAAACAGCATTTTAAACTGATCCGGAACCTACATTGCTTGTTCATAATGACTGAAGAAAAAGCACAAACACTGAACTCAGATCAGCAGAAAACAGTGTTCTTTTGGCATGGCAGCGTTGCTAAGGAACATGAGCTGCTACTTAACCTCCATTTTCTGTCTGACAGCTGCAGCTCTTGTGCTTGCTAATGTATTCATTTCAGTGTGCTCAGACTATAAGCGATACACACAATGTTCGTCTGCTAACAAACAAGTCCACACACAGACTTACAGACACACGTATGCAACATACAAATCTAAAAATGGCATTCGTATATCGGCATATAATCATTTTACATAGGCCTGTGGTTGCCAGATATAGAAAAGAAAAACACATTGGGATCAGTGTAGCCTTATCTGCATTGCTCAGGAAACATGTCATTGCTCACTATCAGTTCCTACAAGGGAGCCACAATAGCTGAGAGGACCGGTGTCATCACTGAACGCTCCACCAACTGTGCCATTACGAACCTGTGAGGGTGTGTTATCTTGTAAGAGGAGCCCCTCGCCAACTGGGTGAATGTTGGACATGAATGAATGCTGATAGGATAGCCATAAAGCTGGCAGTTGCCTCTCTGAATGTGACATTGTCTCGGATAAATGCGTTCCAAATGATTTCTGTGCGTCCGCTAACATGGATAGTGTCCTTCGGTTAGATCAGAGCAGCAAAAACATATTTTCTAGTCCACACCTGCATCTATTCTAATGATAATGTTCCTGTGCACATGCATGTTTCTTTGTCATCACAGCCCGGTATGGTTAATGTTTTATTGAGATAGTCTGGCAGCTTGTAAAAAACACACAATAACTGCATCCTAGTTCAGCGGGCACATCCGTCAAAATATGTGAAGGCCAAACTGATAATTGGTAAATGGGATGGGGTAGCTTTTGAAAGTATGACTCTTGTCGCCTAGCAACTGTGACAGCTTGACAAACTGTTGACAAACATAGGTAATGTTTGTTTACTGGACTTTTAATGCAGTGGGAAAAAAATCTCAGAAAATGTCAAAGTTTTTTGTACAGTTGTAAGACAATTGGTGTAATCTGGCAAAAATAATTGTGTACAGTTGTAACGAGGAGACTGACACGGAGGGATCCATTATGCAGTATTTATTAATCACACTCTTACTCAAACATTCACAATGCACAAAGGTGCAAACACACATCAACGGTAGCAGCAATGGTATCAAGGCTGGCGGCAGACAGACACAGAGTGATTTACCAGGCATGGGTCAAAGGCAGGCGGCGTGATTCAGAGTCCGTGTATCAGGCTTGGGTCGAGGGCAGGCAGCGAGTATCAGAGTCCGTGTATCAGGCTTGGGTCGTGGGCAGGCAGAAGGCAAAGCAGAGTCCGAAACGGGCTGGAGTAATACACAGGAGATCAGGCAGGAAATAATGCTCAGTAATGCTGGCCGGGGCTAAACAAGACTTCGCACTGAATGACTTTTTGAGTGCGGCTTATAAAGGGTACGTGGGTCGTTAACTGAAATGGGAATCAGGTGTGCACGATCAGTGTAAGTGGATGATGTAATGCTAGAAGTCCGGAGATGGCGGCCTCTGCTGGCCAGCGAGGGGAATGACTGGGACAGAGTCGGTGACAACAGTAGATATTGGTGTCCATTGAGTTTTGGGATAGTTTAGACTGTGAAGGATCCATTTTTTGTATCCTTCAATGGCCGTGAAACAATGGATGCATTTTTAAAACCCTGTTTGAAGGAGTCTTTGAATTGTTTTTTTTGTTTGTTTTTTTTTCACACTACGTTGATGAAATTGGTCTTTGAATGTGGTCTACAAATGATGCAGCATCTCTGCTAGAACGAAGCTAATGTGCTGTTAACCTTACTAGACATTTACTTTTTTTCTAATAGCACAATAGAATGATTCAGTGAAAGATCTTTTGAATGGTAGACTGATGGACCAAAAGATGGATAGAGCAATATAGTCGTAGGTTAGTAGGTGATAGAACAACTGAGTGATAGAATGATAGCGGGATAGGTCGATTGAATGACAGATGGGTAGATGATAGAACAATAAAGTGATAAAACTGAAGATAGATGATGGTTGGATGAATATGAATGGATGGAATGGAACAAAGATGGATGGATGAATGGATGGATGGATGGATGGATGGATGGATGGATGGATTGATTGATTGATTGATTGATTGATTGATTGATTGATTGATTGATTGATTGATTGATTGATTGATTGATTGATTGATTGATTGATTGATTGATTGATTGATTGATTGATTGATTGATTGATTGATTGATTGATGGCTGGATGGATGGATGGATGGATGGATGGATGGATGGATGGATGGATGGATGGATGTATGGATGGATGGACAGACGAACGGACGGACAGACCTACAGACAGACAAAAAGACAGACAAAGAGATAGATAGATAGATAGATAGATAGATAGATAGATAGATAGATAGATAGATAGATAGATAGATAGATAGATAGATAGATAGATAGATAGATAGATAGATAGATAGAATGGAACAGAAATATAATGGATGGATGGATGGATGGATGGATGGATGGAAGAATAAACTGATTGAATAGATAGATAGATAGATAGATAGATAGATAGATAGATAGATAGATAGATAGATAGATAGATAGATAGATAGATAGATAGATAGATAGATAGATAGATAGATAGATAGATAGATAGATAGATAGATAGATAGATAGATAGATAGATAGAATAGAACAAAGAAATATAGGATGGATGGATGGATGGATGCGTGGATGTATGGAATGGAATAAATATATATAGAATGGATGGTTGGATAGATAGAAAGAATGGAACAGACAGACAGGCAGACAGACAGACAGACAGACAGATAGACAGATAGATAGATAGATAGATAGATAGATAGATAGATAGATAGATAGATAGATAGATAGATAGATAGATAGATAGATAGATAGATAGATAGATAGATAGATAGATAGATAGATAGATAGATGATATAACAAGTGACTGAGTGAAAATGCTAGATAAAAAGATATAGTTGATAACAGTGGCCTAGTTTGAAACAACTGCATTTTCAGGTAAAACATGTCAGAGATAAGGGTGCGTTAGGGTGGAAACCTGTATTGTTTTGAAACATGGGTGGATAAAAAATACACTTTCATATCTTGCTTGTTCTTTGTCATCAAGTAAATGCAACATCACTGCTCTATTTGTGCGATATAAAATGCACAGCTCATATTAGCATAACAATATTTGCTGCCCTTCTGTTCACCACCCAAAATATTCAATCCTTTATTCGTTTCTTTCTTCTGTTGAACGCAAAACCAGAGACTCTGAAGAATGTAGACTGACAATCATAGTAGGAAAAACATACTATGAAAGTCAATGGCTTCCAACATTTTTCAAAATATCTTCTTGGAACCGATTTAGAACAAGTGAAGAATGAGTAAACAGTCAAAGAATGTTTGGGTGAACTATCCCTTTAAGGAGTGAAGCTTCACACACGCAAATAAAAGAAGGGTTTGAGTTGTGTGGGTGTAAGCGAGAAAGCTCAAGAAAATGACTAGCTGTTATGTATTAATTTGGTGACAATAATCAGTCAACTCAATTTTCCATTACGTTACAACAAGCAATTACTAAACAGCAGTGCTGGTTCATAAACAAATCGTAATAATTAACCGCTGTAGCATGTTTGAAATTGCAGAGTTCAGTGCAGCCTTTTAGGAAAGAGCGAATCAGATTTATCTCAAAAAAGCTCGAAATCACTTTACCCAGTGAAAACGCTGTACACAAAAGCTGCGTGAAATGGGGTCAGACAAATCTCACCATGCAAAGGCTGATGCTGTTTTATGCGGTTCATTGATTTGAAAGTAAAGGCCAGGCTTTAGTCATATTGAGCGAGGGTTTTAAGCATGATTATGGCTGAGAGAAGACTTATTTTCTCACCATTATCTCTTTTTATGTCGTTTATATTCATTAAAATGTTAACAGACGTGCTTTTCTTTCTCTTCCAGACTCTCTAGGTGGACCATTTCCCTCAACAGCTCACCGATGCCATCACAAGCCCAAGCGCTGTTTGCCCTTGCATCAGTGTGGAGGTGTCCTTATGAGCCCCCTTCTTTTCCACCCCAATGCGAAAGGGTCTCAGATAGTCATGGATCTAGCACAGAGAAGCGTCAAACGACAGGCCAGCTTCTGCAACGCCATCACGTTCAGCAACCGGCCCATTGCTCTTTATGAGCAAGTCCGCTTAAAGGTAAGAACAAGGAAAGACGGATGAATATATAGGACAAGTTGCCTATTTGCAAACTGTAGGATAATCTGGAGGGAGGCTGAGTCCAGGAATGCGAAAGAGTTGACGACACACAGGCACATATAAATACATCTGACAGTCTGAGGAAAGAGGCTGATTTTCAAAAAGTATTTATATTTAAAAATATATATTTCCTTTATATTTATGTATATATAAACACACACACAATTTCATACATATACACATACATAGTATATAATATATTGTGATAATATAACATTTATAGTATATATAATAGTGTGCCTCCTACAGGTGGTTTGTCAAAACATCTCACCTGCATAAAGCACACTCAGAATTGCACAGTGTTTTCCCGGAAATGTGGAGAGTTTATGAGAAAGTGTTTGGCGCATATGAAGAGGAAATGTGTGTGATGGTTTGTCATTTTATGGAATGCACAAACACAGCAAAGTTCCAGGTCGTCAACTTGAATTAGTATAACATTCACATTTCAAAACGGCTAAATTAACTTATTTAAGTGTATATGGATAAGTAAACATATTTCTAAAGGCACTGTTGGCTATATATTTCACCAGATGTTGATAGCAACCAAAGAAATCCATAAATGCAAAGAAAACAAATCAGTATACAATTGAAGTTATGTGTAATAAAATGAAATGACGCAGGGAAAAAGTATTGAACACATGACGAAAGGAAGGTGTAGGAATGCAGTGAAAGTCCAGACAGCAGCTGAAATCTCTCAGTAGTTCTTCAGCAACCTTCTGCTCTTCATCATAGTAAATACATATTTGCTGCTTCAGTCCAACATCTACATAAGCAGGATGTAAACGGTTTATAAGAGTGTTTGGCGCAAATGGAGGGGAAAAGTGTGTGTCTCCTACATGTTTTGGCATGCTCAAATACAGTAAAAAAGGTGGTGGTCAACTGGAATTAGTATAACAATTAATTGTTTTTCCTGTTCTGTTTTCTTTCCAACTGTGAAAGAAAATTATGGGCAATTGTTGACAAAGCTTGTGCTTTATCCCTTCTTAATTTTGAAATGCCTAAATTAACTTGTGATTTTAAGTGTATATGGATAAGTAAACATGTTTCTAAAGGTGCTGTTGACTATATTTTCACCAGATGTTGATAGCAACCAAAGAAATCCATAAATGCAAAGAAAAAATATATAATTAATTAACTAATAAAGCTATGCGTAATAAAATGAAACGACACAGAGAAAGTATTAAACACATGAAGAAAGGGAGGTATAGAAAGACAGTGAAGGCCCAGACAGCAGCTGAAATCTCTCAGTAGTTCTTCTAAGAAGTTTTTTGGTAAACTGGAATTGGTATTAGTAACATTCAATTGTTTTTCCTGTTTTATTTTCTTGAAACAAAATTATGGGCGATTGCTGTTAACAAAGCTTGTGCTTCATCCCGCTCCATTCCGAACCAGCTAGTTTGTTAATTCATTTGTGATTTTAAGTGTATATGGATAAGTAAAATTTTTTGATGATTATGATGAAATGTATTTTGTTAAAACAATTGTTTTAAGTGTATAATACTCTGTTTGAAATACAAATCAAAGTAATTAGTGCAAAAAAGACCACATTTGAAAACTAGCATCATGCACACTGCACTAAAACAAATATTATAGGCATTTGTAGCACACAAGGAGTGTAAAACTCCCTTCCATCTTTCACGTGCTTGCAATATTGCTTTCTCTTTCTCTATCTTTCTTAGTGTGTCCCTCTGGGATTAGTGTACTCTGAAAGCATTGTCAAACAAGTTGCACAAGTTCCTGATTCCCATGTCAGCGCAGTAATAATCCAAGATAAACACTTCAACCCCACACCATAGCACTCATACCAGCCCAACCAGTTATTCAACCAATATATACAAATTGTTTTGTTTGTTAAACCGACTCATTAGTCCACTTCTCATTATTGATATTCTCAGAAATGCAGAGCCGGCTGTTGTACAATTCATTATGAGCTTGAAAAATGCATCGTTGTCATTCCAAGAGTCACTGCAAATCAAATAAAACACACCTTCTCTAGTTCAAACACACCACACAACTACTTAGATCCACTCAATTTTCCCTGTTTATTAGCATAGCAAAATATGCCCCCTGGCTGTCCAGCACAGCTTTGACAGAATTTAAATGTCCAATATATTCAGGGATTCAACAGCATGTGAATTCCTCGGGTGGAACAGCCCTGTACCTTATCTTTCCCAAAAAGTAATTAAGTAAATTTGACTTGTACAGTCAAATACTGTCACTTACAACTAGGGGTGTAACAAATTTCGGTTGATCCGTGATTCGTACAGATCACGACCCTTGGTTTAAAAAACACAAGGCCCGCGGATTAATACATTTTTTTTTTACCAGTAGATTAATTCTAAATTTATAACCATCACAGAGAGATCGCCTCTCACGTCATTCAAATCACTCGTATGACAGCATTTAGGCTTTCCTGTAAAATATAATGATGACGCAGGAAGTTGTGGTAGGTTACTCAGGATGTTGTGGGTTTCTTAGGTTATTAAAGGTGTTTTCTGTCACTACTTGTTTTGCCTGCATTAATGCATTCAGTGTAAGCTGCACGATTAATCATAAAAGATCGGGATCTCAACACCCACGCAACTTAAATTATAAATGATGGTGATTTGCATATGTTTATTAATCATTCGAATCGCTGCATTCAAATCTGTGTTTGAAAAACGCAAAAATCAAGAAAGAGATTCAGTCTTTAGTCTTTTGAGTTAGTTAGGAAGTTACAAAGAGTCTAATAGAACAGGTTACAGTTTAGATAAATCCACTAATGTTTATGGTAAAAATTAAATTCACCATCATATGCATTTAACAATGCTCAAAAATTTTAATCATAGACAGCAATTACATTATTTAACCAATAGGTGGCCATCAAAACAACCAGCCATCAAAAATATGCCACTGAATATTTTTTTTAAATGATACATCTAGCAATGAAACATGGAGTTAACTGAATAACTGAATCATTTATTGAAAATGAGACATAATAAATATGGGTTGTAAAAATTATAATGTTAGATTTATAGGTTTAGCGTTATCAGCAACAGTAGTAACAGTGAATTTGTCACATTTCTAAATATTTTACAATTTATTTTTTCTCAGCTGATTATTTCTTCATTTTATTTTTAATAAAATTACAGGTTCTCAGTTCTTTTGTTTTGTTAAAACCAAAAGTGTCTTGCAGAACTGTTTTTGTAATAAATGGAAAGCAAATGACATTTGTCTCCTTCCCTTTTTGGCTGATCCGAAAAATGGTCTGATCCGTGACTAAAAAACCATAATGTGATCCGTGCCATGAGATCTGTAATTCGTTACACCACTACTTCCAATAATACCTTTTCATAGGGTAATTAAAATGCTATTAATATGTAACATTGATGTGCATATTCAGGGGTAAATAACATACAAAGCATGCTCAGAGCCCGGCGGCTAGTCAGCGGGCCATTCAGAAAAAATAAATAACACCTGTTTATTCTAGTGATTGGGCCAAAGAGACACCCTTCTTAAGGAGAAGAGAAGGAGCAGCCGGGAAAAGAGTTCACACACACACACACACACACACACACACACTCACAGCTACACGTGTTGTGTGATTACTTTAAAACTAAAAACAATTACTCACCTTATATCGCCGACCCTGTCTTCTTCTTCCCACCCTACGAACAAACTTTGCTACAGCCAGCTTTTGTACTTTTTTCAAAAAGAGATATGTTGCCGTAAGGTACTATTATTATCCTTTTACACTCAAAAAAATGAATTTTGGCTGTAGTTGGTCCAAAGAATTTAACTATGTTTAAATGAAACAATTCACTTATGTTTGTGTACTAAAAATAAAAGTGTTGTGTTGGAAAAAATTTGAAAAAGTAAGTTTTCATATTTATACAGCTCGCTTAATTAACATGAATGAAAGGGAGTTGTGTTGCTTCTGCAGTACTGCATTTTGGTCAATAGATGGAGTAATATCTGCACATGCGCAGTTTCAAAACAACACAGGAAGTAAGAAGATTCAAACCACAACGATCACTCTCAGCTCGGCGCCATATTATGGGAATCAAAAGATGAAGATTACAGTACAAATTGAGAACGTGCACAAAGCTTTCACCAATGTGGACACACAGGTGAGATTTTTTTTTACTTTTTATGTATTTATATTGAGGCTGTGACAACATTTGAGTCATTAATGTACTCCCTTGTTATACTCTGTTGTGTTTGTGTATAGTATTGTTGTGAAATTGCCATATTCCCTGAGTTTTTTCACATTAATGACAAATAAATTTGTAGTTTTTTTGCATTCCTGTGAAATTTTATACTTTGTGTATATTAACTCCCCCAAAATAAAGTTGCAGACGTTGGTAGTAAGGAATAGTCATGTTAGAATAGTCTAAGCTTTTTCACTTATCATAGCACACGTGCTGCTGATAATGTGACAATAAAAGGGATTTGATTTTTGATTTGATTTGATAGTCTCTATTTTAAATGAGTATCAAGCAGTTTGTCAAGTTTGAATGCCAGTTTTGATGACTTACATAATATTAATTAAAAGGTGGTGTTGGCACATTTTTATTATACAAGCCTGTTAACTTAAAATAAAAAAAAAATCTTGACAAGCATATGTGACACTTAAATAGGATGACATCTTGCATGATGACATATTTAATGTAAGCTTATTTGTCTGGTTATCTAACACATTTAAACTTTTAAGTTTAGTAGTTTGCAGTGGTTTTTTTTTTCAATTTTATTATAAATATATTATTCTAAATTGTATATATTTATATTATTATATTTTATTATTTTAAATCTTTGCTCACTCACATCTATTTTCTCCCTCACAGGTTTACAGCTCAACCTCTAAAGTCCCATATCTGGCTGAGGAGACTGTGGATCATTCAGGTACTATGTCTTTAGATCCCTATACACACATTAAAATGATGTACAGTAAAAATTACTAGTAATTTTAACTACTAATTATTTAGTAAATTACTAATTGTCACTTCATGTCATTTAGAACATCACCAGTGGAAAAAAAGGTGTGAATGCATCCTCAAAGCCCCTAAGTTAGGGAGTACATGGTAAGCTATTTACATTTTTTTTTTTTTACATTTTGTATTTTCGTCTTAAACCAACTCCTCCTTTCACCTTTGATCTGTTGGTAAATGTTGAATTTTTTTATCTGACATTTTTAGGATGCTGGGCATGATGAAGCACACACCTTGATGTGCAACACCACCTTATGAATCTACAGTAGTTACATTAACATTTAGCAGACTTTTTTGAAGAACCTTACAATTGAGGAGACATTCAGCAAATCAACAAGAAGAGGCAATACACCCAAGATGTGCTAATTATACAACGAATGTTAAGAATTAAGAATGCTTTTACATGTGGTTTGTCAAGCCCACTCACCTGTGTGAAGCAGACTTCATGCACAATGTTGTTGTTTTTTATTTTTTGTGTTTGTTTTTTTAGATATAAGGAGTGGTTGTAAGAAAGTGTCTGGTGCAAATGTGCAGAAATGGTGCAAATGTCAGAGATAAATGTGTGTAGCTATTGCATGTTCTGTGATGGTTGGTTTAATTTATGGTTTAGTGCTGATCATGTTACTTTGCTTTAAAATGTTAATCTTTCTTTGAACGACTGAAGTGTTATCTGCTTTATCAGTGTAAAGAAGGTACAGTACAGTTTACAAAAGAAGACTTAATTTTTCTAAGTATATTTTTATGAATCATTTGAAGGCAGAATATTATTTTTGAATGTTTTGTTGTAATGTATGAAAAGTATCATTTTGAAAAGTGTATTTTATGGTGCTTTTGTAAGCATATTTTTGTAAATAATTTATTGTTTTTAATTTACTTTATACTTGTATTACTATTATTTTAATAGTATTAATATTTAAAATTATTGTAATAAGTAAAGATACAGATAAAGACAATTTTTAGATTTTGATAATCATTTGATTGCTGGAAATGTGTAAAATTGTAAAAATGCCATTGAATAAACTCAATGAAACGGAAACAGTTTTTTTATTTGGTTAAACATAACAATATCAATTTTAGAATAATTGAACTTAAATAACTACATTGATTAAAGCTAAATTATAAATGTTACGTTGATTGAACTAAACAACATCACATTACCTTTATGTAACTAACTTAAGTTCACTAAAATTAATATTCTTTCTTAAAGGTAACTTAACTCGGTTACGTGGAACCAGTGGACAAAAAAAAGTTAATTAACGCCAACATATCATTTTTTTGAGTGTAGAGGGTAACAATGATATAAAGATGTCCCTTTATGGCTATTACCCCAGTGATAAACTGTTGTATCCCTGAAGTTACTTTTTTTTCTCAGAGAGAGAATATTTCTATGACCCATGAACTCTGCCTCACTGTATGTCATAATGATAACAGATTCATTTTTTCTGTCTTTAGATCACTAAAAAGCAGTGCTGCTGGAGTGGTGCTCTGCGCCTGGGTTTCACTTCTAAAGATCCATCTCGAATCAACCCTGACAGCCTGCCCAAATACGCCTGCCCTGACCTGGTATCCCAGAGTGGATTCTGGGCTAAGGCCCTACCAGAGGAGTTTGCAAATGAAGGAAACCTCATTTCCTTCTGGGTGGATAAGAAGGGAAGAGTATTTTACCGCATCAATGATTCCAGTCCCATGCTGTTCTTCAGTGGCGTTCGGACCACCGAGCCATTGTGGGCCCTCATTGATGTCTACGGTCTGACCAGAGGAGTGCAATTGCTGGGTAAGGAAAATAGCTGCAAAGATTAAGCCAGTTCAAGCCAGGTCTAAATGTTCTGCTCTGACAGAGCGTAAAACTAAATACTCTGCAGCAACTAAAAATTTGATGAAAAAAAAGTTAGTCCTAAGATAATCAGGTACACAAATGTTTTTTTTCTAAGATTTGTAAAAAAAAAATCGTACTGTAAATAATTTTTGATGTAAAAGGTCATTTATGAATATTTCACACTTACGTTTTGCTGTAGGCTGTGTCAGAGTGCAGTTTCCACTGCATTGGTCCAGCTTCACACTCTCTTTATTACATTTACTACAATGAACCTTTTTGAATATAAATATATATTCAAATATATGCAAATTAATATTTTTCTCCATTTCTTTGTGAACATAGGCTGTGTACTTTGGTGCAGTTAAACAAAACATATTTATTAAACAGATATATTTATTAAAATAATATTTTAGTCGGCAAACATATTTAGAAATTGAAAGATAATACAATTAAATTTAAGCTAAATATTGCAACAACAAAATAATTACAATTAATTACAAAATTTCTCTTGTTTTTTTCTCTTTTTAAAATTTGTATTTAATATATATTTTTCTATTTTAATATTTTTAATAGTTTTTGGACTGTATCGTAAATTATTTTATTTGATAAGCTCCAGATTTGGCCTCAGTACTGACTAATCATATATATATATATCATATACATACTTATATATGCTAAGCACTGTAGCTATAAATACTTATATTTTATACTATATATATATATATATATATATATATATATATATATATATATATATATATATATATATATATATATATATATATATATAGTTGAAGTCAGAATTACTAGCCCACCTGTTTTTTTCCCAAAGTTCTGTTTAACAGAGAGAAGATGTATCTAACCCATTTCTAAACATAACAGTTTTAATAAATTATTTCTAATAACTGATTTATTTTATCTTTGCCATGATGACAGTAAATATTTAACTAGATTTTTTTTTTTTCAAGACACTTCTATACAGCTTAAAGTGACATTTAAAGGCTTAACTAGGTTGATTAGGTTAGCTAGGCAGGTTAGGGTAATTATGCAAGTTATTGTATAACGATGGTTTGTTCTGTACACTATCTATAAAAAATAGCTTAAAGGGGCTAATAATTTAGCAAAATGGTGTTTAAAAAATTTAAAACTGCTTTTATTTAAGCCAAAATAAAACTAATAAGACTTTCTCCAGAAGAAAAAATATTATCAAGAATAGCTCTTTTTCTAAACACAGTAAGTCAGAGAGCCCGAACCTGAGTTATTGGTGTAGATGTATCGCTGTGTATAATCAGAGTCAACACTGTCATGAGCAGAACATACCATACGCCATGCTTTGATGTAGCGCAGTGTGTACGGGTGTTTGTGCATGAAGAGGGGGTTTGGCGGTAAGAGGCGAGACATTCACATCTCACACGCATACATGCAGCAGGCTTTAATGCTGTCATCCCCTAGGGTTAATTATAGAACCAGGTCACATACGCCAGAGATAGCTCCATTTATCCTAATTGAGCACTGTGGCAATTGACGGCAGCCTCTCTGTCTGCTATCTGTTCACAGTGCGGGATGTGTTTCGTTACGTGTGCGAGTAACTTTATCTGTACCTTTGACTCATGAGAGACAGTGCCGACATGCACCAATGAACCCGTGTTCTTCGATGGTCGACTGCTTCGCTGAAACCGTAGAACGCATGTGTGTGTAGTATGTATTTCACACTGCACAAAAAAGCAGCTTGTGGTTAGGGTTTGCATTCACGTCAGGATTTCGTCAGTGTGTGCAGTAGGGATGGGTGATGTGGACTTAAAATTATGTCTTATAATTAGTGCTGTCAAACGATTCATTGCGAATAATCGCGTCCAAAATAAAAGTTTGTATTTGGGTAATGTATGTGTTCTAATAATAGTAATAATCTAGTAATAATAATAATAATAATAATAAATACTATGTTAATCAAAAATGTCACCATTGGCTTGCTTGGTTGGGACTTGTGCTGCTACGCATCGATGGATTTGCTCTTCAATGTTTGGACTTACAGCAGTGAAATTTAAACCACACTGAACTGAACTAAACTCTGGACTGACACAGTTTTAATTTACTAGAACTTCTATGTTAAACTGCTTTGACACAGTCTACATTGTAAAATCGCTATAGAAATAAACATGAATTAAATTGAATTGAATTACTCATTGCACAGATTGATTATCGGTTTTATTGTTATTATTATGATAAGTCTATTGTAATATCATGGGAAGATATTCTGAAGTAAACAACAGCATGTATTGCATGGTACTGGATATACAGTTCTGCCTATATATACTGACTAAATCTGCCTTAAATCATTGTTTAATCTTATGTTATGTTTTATTTTTATTTTTTCTTTGGGTCTATATGTTACAAAATGAAAAGGTACAAATGGAATCAAACATATTATTTATCAAAGATGCCAAAAGGATTAAATATGTTTCATGTAAAAAGAAGAGATAAGTAAAAGTTTAAGTAAGAAACGAATGATGTATGTGGTAATGGGGTGCGAGAATAATAAGCTTATGCTTCATCCTGCTCCATTTTCGACCATGTTGATATGTATTTCTTTTTGTTAATGACATTTTATGATAGTTTGTTCGAAAATAAATCAAATCAAATCAAATAAAAACAAATCAAATATGTGAAGTACACAGTGAGCAGAAAAAGGGTGCAATATGTTGAAAAAACTTCATGTAAAAAGTGGTTAATGATTGGTATGAGCTATGTTAATTAAGATACTAGCTTAATAGTTCACCTATTTGACCGGAAGTTACAACAACAGGCATGAATAAACAAGATTATTTCACTTGAAATCCTGTTTTGCCAACCACAAACACCTTGTGTCCCTCAGACAGTTTTTCTTTTTTTCTTCTTTATTTGTTGGTGGTCTATAGCAATGGTCCCCTACCCCCGGGCCACATACTGGTACCAGTTCATGGATTCAATTCAATTCAATTCACCTTTATTTGTATAGCGCTTTTACAATGTAGATTTTGTCAAAGCTGCTTCACTAAAAGATCATAGTAAATTGAAACAGTGTAGTTCATTTTCCAAAGTTTAAGTTCAGTTCAGTTTTGCTCAGTTCAGTGTGGTTTAATATTCACTACTGAGAGTCCAAACACTGAAGAGCAAATCCATCGATGCGCAGCTCTACAGTTCTCGAATCATGCAAGCTAGTGGTGACAGCGGCGAGAGAACAAATAAAACTTCACCAATTGCCGGAAGTGAAGAGAAAAATAAATAAAACCTTGAGAGAACCAGGCTCTCAGATGGGCACGACCATTTCTCCACTGGACGAACGTCTTGTGCAGAGTTGCAGTCCAAGTACCGGAGGCTGAAAGCTGGACCTCAGCGAAGACTCATCAGCCCCTGGAGCGTCACAAGAGTCAGTCTGATGCTCTCCACTCTTCCATGACCACCACAGTAGCTGCTCAGGATACGGCCTGGTCTGGGATATGGAAACCTTCAGGATCATCTCTACCCTGGTTGGATCGAATCAGTGGCATTGCGCGGTCTTAGGATGAGTATACCCAGGTGGAAATAGAAAATAAAGTGAATAATTAGCGTAGCTGCTGTTCATAGTGTATATAAACGAGATGAGGAAACCTGCGTGGAGCATTCATGTATCATACCGCTAAGTGATGCACTGACTGTGTGGTTTACTAAAAAGATAGGTCTTTAATCTAGTATTGAACTGTGATCAATTGGTACTGGGCTACACAAGAAATCAATAATTATTTCCCTTCTATTTATTATTTGAGTCTGAACAATCTTTTATTTTGAAAAATGTTTTATTTTGAAAAATGACCATGTTCTCTCAGTTACATGCCAAAATGTGACCTATAAGCTAGCAAAATAAGTACTAAGCAGACGTCTTTGGAAAGTTTTATTCTGAAGGTGAAAAGGCAGTGCTTTTTAATTTTCTCCATAGATAAAATGTGTATCAGAGTTGCAGCTTTGTTTTGTCAGCTTATCATCTTCTGAGAAAATTGGTTGAATGTCACCTAGCAATCTACAGTACGTACACCACCCCATACACAGTCCTCCACCCCATCTCCGGGCCATGGTAAAAATATCAAGTGTTGATCTGTCCGCGATGATAAAAATGTTGGGGATCACTGATCTATAGTACTCTAAATGATTTCTTTCCTAAGCAGTTAGTAAAGGCCAAAACATTACATAATTAATCGATTTCAGTAGCAATAATCCCCCAAAAATGTTTATCATTCAGTTTAGTGGTTCTTTGTTTATTGTTTATGTTCTTTGCTCCAATATTGTAGACTAATGGTGCTAAATGAAAACACACTATTGATCAAGTGTCCTGACATTTCGTCCTACCCGTCAGATTATGCTACCAACACTGTATTTGAATCGTTCTGAGGTTGGGGTTAAGGATTAGGGCGATATTACAGCTTCATTTCACACATTAATATTTACACTGGTAGCAAAATGTGATTGTTAGTATATTGCATCATCAAAATGTGCTACCTACAGTACTTTTTGAAAGAGAGCTAGGACAATCTGACATGGTAGGAAAAATCAACAGAACATACTCACATCATTAACCTAAGCAATACATAGTACATTCTGATGCTGAATGCGTACTATAATGTATAAACCTCTTTTTTTGCAAGATTTTGAGCAAAAAAATAAAAAAATGGACACTACTTATTTGAAATGCTTATATCCTTCCCGCAGCACTTAACATTTTCTCTTCCCAGAAGGGTTTGTAAGTGTGCGTAGCGCCTGCAGAGCAAGATCAAAAGAGCTCTTCCTGTATTTCCATCAAACGTTGCTCCTGGAGTGCTGATGCCAGAACTCAAACAATCACATTTAAGACTCCATTTCCCTTGGCCTGACATGCAGTGGCCTTATTTACCGGATGCGGAAAGGAAGAGCTTGTTAGTGGCAGTATACAAAGCCTGAGGAAGCAGAAA